CTTGGCTCTTTGTCCATGTTCTTACTCTTGTCTTTATTTTTCTGTCATTATTACCTGTTCATTAAACTGGGAGGCCACAAGAAGACTCACATATTTGTTTTTCAGTAACTATGGCCAAAAGCTAATATCAAATGTTAACCAAATTTGTGATTTCAATCTAACTTGGAAAGACTTGAGGTTTTGCTTGGTTGTTTTGTTCTTTCTTTCTTTCTTTTTTTTTAAGCCATTTCCTGGCACAATTATTTGATCTCATTCTGAAGAAGACAAATACTGGGACACCAAGGATGTTGAAGGTCAGAATTAATATGCTTTTACTAATTAGACTATCTGAAGAAGTTCGCCTTCTTACACCTTCTCTATAACTGCTTATAATCAGCTTTCTTTTAATGAAGTGCTGAAGTGTCCCAATTCACTAAAAATAACAAAAATAATAATAAAGCATGAATGTACTATAAAATCACAGAAATAAAATATATGCTTTTAAAGAATATTGATTTGGGGAGGTTGGATTTCTCTTTTTATGCCTTGATAATTAATCATGTGTTGTATCTTAAAGCGTTTTATAGCTTGGGTATTTGGGGGAAGGTGAATACTACAAGACAAAAATGAATGACAGTCATTTAGTGTCCTTGAACAGCATCATTATGAAGAAACCGTAGAGTTCTCATCTGCAAGATATGCAACTTCAGTAATCACATTTCTGGTGAAGACAAATAAAAGGGAATTGCATCCAGGTACACACGTGTGCTCAACTCCCCTGTGGCTTCTACAAAGATCTCCCCACGGCGGTTCCTGATTTCCTGGCAGGGTCACCAGCGGAGGGAGCTTAAAAGGCTGCTGTGATTGGCATCTGAACCCTACAATACTCAAACCTTCCTCCCATGATCATGGACCCGTTTTTGCTAATAGGAAAAAAAGTGACAAGGAGAGAAAAGGTCACCTTTGGAATGCCAATAGGAGTATTTTAGTTGCTGTTTGTATCAGGTTCCACTTGTATCCAATGCAGTGGATACAAGCACTTCTACGTGGGAAGAACTAAACTGTGTAAGTCAAGCGGATTTACTCCTGAAAAGATTGAGCATGTTTTCTCTCTCTTCCTCTCTCTCTCTCTTCCTCTAGAGACACAGCAACACTCTCATCCAGTTACATAAAACCAGTGATGCTGTGTTGCTACTTTGGAAGAAAAAATACAGCTAACGGCATAGCAGGTGCTTAAAACTATGTGTTAAATGGATAACAGCCAGTAGGTAAAGTTTACTGAGTCCTAAGGAACCCGCGGAGCAAGCAGAGTGGCAAGTTCATTCGGTGGGCTATGTCCTTCAATCCTCACCTACCTGCTGCACAGCAACACAAGAAGAGGTGTCAATTAAGTCCATTTTTTTTTTGGTACCAGGGAATGAACTCGGATCCTTGTGCTTGCGCAGCAGGCAGCGAAACCACTGAGCTAAATCCCCAGCCCAATTAAGCCAATTTTAAAGGAAGGGAAACAAAGGCACAGAAAAGATTAAGTGGTTTAAGTACATTTAGCAAAATATAATGCAACCTTGATTTGAAATTGTCAAATCTGTTCATCAGCTCCCATATTCCTCAAACTTTATACAGAAGTGGGGGAGTAAATACATGCTCTTAAATTTACACTCTGATGTAAATGACTGACAGTCATTGATTCAAACTGGAGATAGATTTTTGAAAGAACACTTGTATCAGAAAAAAAAAGGCACAAGCAGGTTCACAAAAAGCTTTATCTGATTCATTATTCTGTCAAAGTAGAACTTTACAGAATCCACCTTCAATATTAATTTTAACAACAACCTTGAGAACATACATATGTGTGCTTGGATTGTTCTTATATTGTTCAAAGTAAAACTATTTAAAGAAAACTTAAAGAGAAGGAGTTTATATGAGATTTGTACTTTGCAATAATGAGATGTTTTATATTGCAATTTTCATCACCTTGCTCTCATGAGCATGGAATGTGCTGCGGATGCATTTACAAATTCTATCACTCGTGTGTAGAATCTGAGCTTTTTCTTCATATATAAAAATACACATTACCATATATTTGTCTTTGAGTGTTACTGTAAGTGGTGTAATTCCATTCATATTTCAGGAATCATTTTAGTTAATGTTTGAGGTGAGAAATTAACCCTTGAAAATAAGGAATTAGATAGCTATTCTTAAAATTATTAATTTTCAACATACAATTTGTCATGTTAGAGATTTCTAGGATATGCTTATTAAATTTGTCTCAGGATAGAACCATTTCACAGACTATACAGGAAAGGTGAGCTGAACCTACAGTTTCACACATAGTAACCCAGCTGCTAGAAATATTCTGGGATTAATTGCTATGGGAAAAATATCCCAGGCCCAAATGTCTTTAGGGTTACAAATAAGGAAATAAAGTGCAAAATAAATAAATAAATGAATAGCGCTGGTACTACTTGGTGATCGTTACCTATATGTGAACAGAACGACAAACACAGCGTTTAGCAGTGGAGAGTATGCAATACTGGAGCCATAGTCATGTCACCTGCTAGCCATAGTTTTTGCTTTCCTGTCCTCCTCATTCAGGAACTTCCGGAGAGCTATTGCGGGCTCCTCCCCTCCTTTGTGATGGCCCTCACATCTTTAACTCAGGAGGCTCTAACTCATGATTCGGCCCTGAAAGGCAGTGGCTGTGGCATGTGGCCAAGCCACCTACGGGAGGCTCTTTTCCTCCCATGCTATGAGGGTGGGGCACAAACATCTACTGGGCAGATGCCAGAGGGGTGGAAAGAATGTGTCCCCCAAGAAAGACATCATAGGCAAGTTATACACTTAGTTCTCTATTCAGGAAAAATGTATCTTTCCAAAAGCTGTTAAGTTACTTTTAAAAATCTATCTGAGCTCATTGGAGGAGTAAATTTAGTTAAGTCATGATATCTCTCAATACAGTTATTTAACCTACTCTGGCAAGTGAACAAAAGGATCCACCCATAACCGGATGCAGACCTGGTTGTCTTGAGAGTTAACAATGGCCTTAAAAGTAAACCAAGAAACCAATAACAAGGCAATCAGCAGTGTCCCAGAACATGCCTGTACACATGAGAACCAAAGCCCTCAGCGGTTGTTCCAGCCCAAACTGCATCTCCCTGCCTTGTCCTTCAAACAAGTATACTCCAAGCACATTTTCTGTGCAGCTGGAGCCTTTGTTACAGACAGAAGGATCCTGCTTCTGAGGCCACTCCTAACTTTTTAAAAGAGGAATTTGGAAAACTTCCCAGACATTGCACCTGCCCCAGCCCTTGCACCTTGGAGTGTCAGGCCAGTGAGGGAGACAGTGAATTTATTAGTGGTGGACGGGCCACTCTGTCTTTCCCTGCAGCAGCAGTAGGCAAGCCCAGCAAAACCTGTCTGCCAGCCAGCAAAACCCATGCCCGCTTCCTCCCAGCAGCAGGGCCCAGTGAGTGGAAACAAATGCTATTTCCTGGAAGAAATACTACACAGGCCAAATGTTGGACCAGGCAGGTAGCTTCCATGTCCATGTGAGAAAAAAATTACTGTCATCTGTGCATTCTTTTCTTTTATCTTTAAGAAAATTAACAGAAATGGAGCATTTTAAGGGAATGCAATGGTTCAATTTCTAACACTCAGTGATGATTCTGACATACTAGGGAAAGAGGTAAGCGTGCATTTATCTCAATAGATCTCAGCTCAAATATTGTCGATTCATTACAAACATACATCATCAGCCAGTCTCACTAAAGAGAAAGCTATTTACTATTTTAGGTAAAAATAAAAGAATGATATTTAAACTGCATTTTAGAGCTCAAATTCCATTTTATCATCCTCACTTATGCAATATTTTAAAGATGAGGTATTTGCTCCAAAATTACTTTCTTATGTATCAAATGAATATCTTTTTGAGCTGATAGAATAATATATGTATTTTCTTTCCTTTGCATATGACATGAAGTTTTACTGGGTCAGATTCTTTGTCTACGGTTCACTACCCACTCACACTGTAGAAGTGCAAGATATGAAACACGCTAATGGGCCTTCCACCAAGGAAAATACAGCATCAGTCTTCTGCAATCTAACTTTGCATGTCTTTCTACACTTTGTCATTTCTTTAAATAAGAAAAACAAACTCTGTGCCATGAAGAGTTAAAGTTGTGTAGAGCCATTCCTGAACAGTGCTATCAGCAAGTGTAATTCACAGAAGCCACGGGACCTGCAGAATATCTCGATACTAGGAAGAGCAGCAGCACAAGACAAGGAGCCAGGATCATGGACTTTCATGGCCCAATCTTGCCCTTGTTTAAAATTGTGATAGGATATTTTCTGTATTTTTCTCCTGGGTTTCCATTTCTTAAAATATTGTATTAAACTATTACTTACACTAGCCCTAAGATTTCTAGTGCCTTTAAATTTTATGCATGAGGCAAGAGAATTCCTTGAATAGTCCTGGCTCGGAGAAGTTTGTTTTTCCTGAAATTAGTTTTCCCCATAATGCTCACTACAAAATATAGGATATTGGTAGTTCTTACGTTAAAAAAGAAAGGGGGAAAAAGGAATCAATGCGTCAGATACTTGTTAGGAATATGTAACCAAGTAAAGTTGCATGGCTCTCTTGTAATTCTAAGCTTTCATGACCTCATGCTTTGAGAAGCTTAGAAAACACTCAAACATATCTCAAACTCATTTGACCGCAGGACCAAGTGAATATTACTCTGAGAAACATGCTCTACTAAGTAATGTCTGAGAGCTGTCTGAACTTCGATTCGGTAAGCCTGCCTCACCACATCCTTTTCCTTTACTTCACTTATGCCACGCTTTCCCTCAGAATACTAAAAAGATGGACATGTTGACACAATCAGGCTACTGTTATAAAAGGACTGAATTTATATTTCTGTACATAGGCACATGGTGGTAAAAATTTTAAAGGACTATCAAAATAACAGAGAATGCTGTGGAGCTCAGCACCTCTTAAATGAAACAGCGTGAGACACACTTACCAGTAAAGTCAGTACCGAGGCGGTGAGTGGTGCTGGGAAATTTATAATACCCACTTCCTGTGAAACGAGTTCCTTTCATCATGGTGGCCACTGGAGCTGATAGAGACGACGCTCTCCTTTCTAGCTGGTACACAGGCCAGGGCCCGTTTACTTCTTCGGGTGGAAACCATGTAAGATGGATTGTGGTGCTGTTGATTCCTTTCACCAGAGGAGGCCTCAGCTGGGCAGGTGCTACATATTAGAAAACACCAGTTACACCCCAGAATCTGGCCTCTCTCTCTTGCACACAACACAGTCAAAATCAAATCAATGGAGGTCCGCAGGGTTTCAATGATTCTAAGAACTGAAGGCCTATAGTTTATCTCAAATATGACTAAACAAACTTAAATACCTAACAATTACTTAATACAAAATATTCACAAGTAAATGTCTTCTTGGAAATAATTTCTCAGTTTTCCTTGCTAAATAACTGGAATTATAGTAGCCACTGGTGGTGGATCTCTTCACCAAGCAGGTGCACCAATGCCCTGCTTCTGCCCCTGTTGGCTTCCCATGGCTGGCTGTCCACTTCCTCCACGTAGCCCCTCAGCTGAGGGGAAACTGCCTCACCAAGACCTAAAGAGTCCCCAACAAAGCCTGCAGCCAGGGGCCAGCACTGACTGGGAAGTGTGGAGACAGTCTTCTAACCACGACATCAGCTTGGCGCTGCCATTCACAGGGGCTGAGCAAGGAACAGGAAGGATCGGAAAGGGGTTTTGGGGGAAATAAGAGGGAGAGTGAGATCTGACGAGCACTGGGCAGGGCTGAATTGTCACTGAGGTGTGCCAGCCAATGGGAAATCAGGAATAATGGCCTTAGGATGTCACATCTTTTATTTTGTCTTTTAAAAATTGTCAAAAAGTCACTTTTAGAGCTTTAATTTTTTGGAGCAGATTTAGGTTCATAGCCAAGTTGAAAGGAAGGTACAGAGTTTCATTGGATGTCCCACACCCCTCCATATCCATGGTCTCCCATTCTCACTAGCACTATCACTGTCACTAGCAGACACATCCTTATCATCCACAGTCTATAGTGTGCTCGATGTTCACTCCTGGGGTTCCACACTCTCCGGGTTTGATCAGATGTACAATAACATGGATCCATTATCATCACATCCTACACAGTAGTTTCACCACCCCCCAAATCCTGTGCACCTGCCACTCATCCCCATCAACAACTCCCGGGAAACACTCGATTGTTTTTACTGTCACCATAGTTCTGTGCCTTTTCTAAGATGTCACATAGTTGGATTCATACAGCAGGTGGCCTTTTCAGATTGGCTTTTTACACCTATTAACATGCAGGTAATGATAGTTCATTTCTTTTTAGTGCTAAATAATATTCCATTGTCTGTATGCCATTTTTTTGTGTGCATTCACCTACTGAGGAATATCTTGGTTGAGTCCAAGTTTTGATAATTTATAAAGCTGCTGTAAACTCGCTTCACTCGCATGTTTTTTGCCTGGTTACAATTTCTCAATCTCCTTGGGGAACTCCCCAGGAGCACTGTGGCTGGGTCATGGGAAAACAGCATTAAACAGCTGTGTGGGAAAGTGCCCACTGTCCTCCAGTGTGACTGTCCTATTTGCATTCCCCCAGCAACAAGTGAGAAGTCCCGTTGCTCCCAAGCCTCATCAGCATTTGGTGCTCCTAATGTTGGCAACCCTAAGGGATGTGCAGTGGTACCTTGTTTTAATTTGTACTTTTCCCTTTATGTATCATTTGAGGTATATTTTCAAACACCATCTCTATATCATCTTTGGTCAAAAAGCCATCTTCATGTGTTGTTGTCTGAATTTTTTCAGGCTTAGAATTGATTCAAATAGAAACAATCTGTCAAAACCACCCTGTAACCCAGAGTACCCATGGTTTAGCAGTTTATAAACTCTGGTCCAGGCACAAAAGACACTGGGGAGTTTCTCAGGCCTGAAGTAGCCAGGAACACTGCTGACCCTGAAGTGACCGGGCCACCAGCAGTGGCCTCACACCTGGAATAATAGTTGCACCGTACCCTTGAGTACAGTGGGGCTGGGCATGCTTTGAGGTCTTGGGACAATGGCAATTCTTTGGAGTTCCTTGGAAATTCCATGGGTAAAAGAAATTAAGATCTTCTGTATGGCCTGCTAGAAAGGGAGATCAGAGGACAATGACGGCGAATTGAAAATAATGGTTAATGATGGCTAATGGTGGTTACCGTCATTCCCATTTTAAGAGTGTTGGCTGGGTTTGAGAGGTAGAAATGGAGAAAGGAACAAGCCATACTCATGAAGCCTACTTAGTAAGAATCCAAAGTAAGGCCATAATTTACAACCCATACAGACAGAAACATTTCCTGCTGCAATAAACATAAATCAAAATGATGTGAAGGCAAGAATTGAAACTCTAAAATCAGGAAAAGAAACCCACTGTAAAAGACCTTAGAAAAACAACTATTTGTTACCCTTTTTGTGGTACTGGGAATCAAACTCAGGGCCTTGATTTTTGCCAGGCAGGTGCTGTGCAGCTGAGCTATATCCCCAGCCCTATTTGTTACCTTTTAGAATGTGGCCAGCTTTCCAAAGAGAAACATTTAGTTGTGATTCTACTTCAACTTTTAATAGGAAAGGCACCAAGCAGAAAGTTCATTGACTTACAAAGTATCCATTGCTATCATCTTCTGCTACTGAAACCCATGTGATAGTTCTATTTTTATACGTGTATGAATCCAAAAATTACATTATTTCTTTTATCATTCACTGCCAAAATTCAGCTAAATAGTGGGTTATTAAAGATTTTGTCCTACAACCTATGATTCCACTTCAAAATAATCCAAAAGAAAATAAAAGAATAAGTGGTCCAGAAACTCCTCCCATTAAGCTTGTCTTCAGAGTTTGGAGGTCTATCCTTGTGTTAAAATTCCAGCAGGCCACAGTTGGTCATGAGTTTAACTGAGGCTGCCTGAGATTCGTCAGTCCTGGGCTTAGGATTGCAAGCAACAGAATAATTACATAATTTTCTATTGTCTAATTTTTATTAGAAACATAACAATGGGATTTTGAGCTTTTCTGGTACATTCTCTGCATTCCACTTAAGATTCTCCAGTGTTTTGGGATATAGGGACCTGAACTTTTTACTTTGAAAACCACCATGTAGCCCAGTGATAGGCAAGAGATCTTTCTCCAGTGCTGCAAATGTTGCAGATTCATCCCACGTTAGCTAAATATTTAGAAGGATGCATTGGCCTCTGCACTTCTTACTAATGGATGATGTTGCTATTGTTTAAAGACCAGCCTCTTCCTCAAGGCTGCAGGTGTTTGACAGGCAGAACACAAACCTCTCCTGATGCCACCACCACTGAATGGGGTGAGAGTTTTGTACCACCGCCCTCTTCAGAATGCTTTCCTGCTCCATAGCCCCATCATAAGCACTGCTACATTAAAAATATAAATTCAGAGTTAAAACCACAAAGGAATGCCTGTACCTCTGCAGTCATTGTTGTTTAATACCTCCTAAAAGTGAGGGCACACATTTGTTTTTATGTTGGCAAAAGATTATCACCAGTAAGGGAACTCTTACATGGAGAGTCCACAAAAGTTTATGTTGACCTTTGATCTTAGTTACTTTGTAGGTCCCTGAGACACAATAGCCAATACACACAATTTAAAGGAAGAAAGGTTGATTTTAGCTCATGTTTTTAGTTTGTAGTTAGCTGGCTCAAGGCCAGGATGGCATGGTAGAGGGGTGTGGTGGAGAGCTGCTCAGGGCAGGATAGGAAGCAGATGGAGATCAAGGGAGGAGCCAGGAAGGGAGATATAACCTTGCTGCTCACGCCCACATGACCTGTGACTTCCAATCAGGTCTCATCCCCAACACAAGTCATCATCTGATGTCCCTACACCCCCTGCCTTTCCAAAGTTTCCACCTCTGAATACAGGAGGCTGTAGAGGGACAGGCAGATACATCCTCAGACTCTGACAAGTCATGGAGCACTGCCTTTGATCTGCAGGAGAACCATCCCACCGTGCCATTAGACTGCTCTTCAGACATCAACTGAGAACAAGTTGAAGCACAGTATATTTTTCATCTTTCTGCTTTTAAAATCCCTCTCCAGCTGGTATACTCACATAAAGGAGGCCAACAAGCCTGTGGAAAGGTGCCCACCCGACTGACCACCCTTTTAACAGTTCCATTCAGACCGGAAGAACGAATGAAGTGAAGTTGTCTATCAATTACATGAGACGGGTCACAAACTCAGAGACCCACGGAGAGATTGGAATAATGAAGGATTATTTGTCAGATTATCAAAGCAAAGGGACTATAGATACAAACAAATATGGCCTTTCAATATTTCTTAATTCTGAAGTAGTAAATTAAGAGATAACATTAATGAAAAGGACTCTGCAGGCTTAGGGAGTATATTTCACTTTTTAATTTCAATTGCTGCACATATTTTAGGAAAAATCACTTAAAATTTATAAGTGCTTTGATTTTTCCCTTCTACACTAGGAGGATAAATTTTCAGTAAAATATTTCAGCAGTAACTGCTGTGTCCAAGAAAACACATAATTACTTTAAGGTTTGCAAAACAAGTCTGTACAAATGCAAGACGCTATTATTACTAACCATTTACACATCTTTCAAACTAGATATTGTAAAAGGACACAATTCATCCACGTTCAAAATCTATCTGGCTTTGCTTAGAAGTCCTAGTGTAAATGTACAGTAGAAAACGAACCTTCAATTCCATCATTTCAAAGAAGAGCATCTGATGTATTTTTTCATTGGGGTTGAAATTACAATGGTTTTGTGGGTTTTTAAAAAATAACACAGCAATTGAGGTTCTAGTCCCTTTCTTCTATTGTATGGATTCTTTATAAAATGCTCTGCTAATCTACATTTTTCTTTATGCAGCATTTATTACTTTATAATCTGATAAATAGCATTTCATAATGAATAAATTTATACTTTCAAAATTTATGTAGCATGGGATTTTGAGCAACATGAGATAGGAACTGAGCAGAGACATTTGGCGACACACAGGTCTTTTTCGATGGAAGTTTTTCCTTTGTTTTCAAGGAAGAATCAGTAGTTCCCTACACAGCAGTGTCACTGGATGAGTTCAGACAGCACCATCTTTCTGTTCCGAAGACAGGAGTCCAGGAAGGAGCAGCCCCTCCATGCCCAGGGCCGAGGAGGGAGCAGAATGACACAAG